GGTAAATGATGTGATTGTACACACTCTTGTACAGTAGGTGGGAAAATAGGCACATTGAAATTGTTTGTGATCCGCAAAAAAACTAAGAGAAGAAGCACTAATCAGCGTGAGCACACAGACGCCAGGGCTGTTGAAAGCGTATGCTAACAATAACATAACTTATTTTAAGCTCTATTTGCAACACTGGCATCCCAATTTGTTCTCTTTTCCCCGTAACAATGTCCTTATTTTTCAATTCCTCATCTTTTTTTTGCACATGAATGCCAATATGGTTAGAGCCTGTTTTCTGCTGACGGCTATGGCAACCTCAGCTGCACACTGATGAGGCTGCGTGTTGACTTACTTATTCACAAGTACCTAAACACAGTGTACATGCATGTTGTACCCAACATTATGAGATCTGTGTCGCACAATTTGGCTTGCAACAAACTTACAACATTGCAAAAAATCGCAGTCTAGAGAAGCCTTTAGGCTAAGCACTTTACTGAGAATTCTCATTGCTGAAGCTCAACCTCCTCCTCCAACGAACGAATAAATACTTGTGCTGTTGTACAGTACCTGATCAAAACAAAATCTCCAACCTTCTGTTCGTTCTAACTTCAGACCTATTTCTAGTTCCTGAGAAAGTAGTTCTCACACAGCTGCAAACATTTTGAGTAATCAATGAGTCGAATCAAAAGTTTCAGTCACAGTGAAAATCTTGTCATAGTGTTGAAACTGCTCCGTTTTTTTTATGAATCTGACTTTTAAATGATCAAATTTTAACTGCCGATTAAAGAGCCTGCATCCCCATGCTCTCAAAAATCTAACATCTGCCATCGACAATGTTGATCAAAAGTTCCTCCTGTCTCGCTTGGGACATTATATGGGACCAAAAGGTAGTGAACGCTGGTCTTTTTTGAACAGATTGGTGTCCGTCAAGGTTCCGTTTTGGGCCCCATCCTGTTTTTTTTAATTTTTAAATTCAAAACTTTTATTTTCACTCAACACTTACGACACTGAGGTTTCCCTCATTTACAGTGACGTCGAGCTCACAGCATAGAAGAAGAGATGCAAAAAAAAGCAAGTATAAAAGAAGAAAAGAAATCAGCTAAAACAAACAAACAGAGAAAACAGTACATATCCAGAATACAGCCAGCAACACAGCTAAAAACAGTTACAAATTGATAAACAATGGTCCGTTACTCTAGCCTTAAAGGCTGCATGTGAGGGCAGAGTCCTAATTTTTTAAATTTGTTTGATGACATTCCAGGAAAACACAGTCTTTCCCAAATCTGAATGTTCCCGGGGGACCTTAAGTATCAGCCAGTCACTGGAACGAGTGCAATAGGTTCCACAATTCCATTACAACAATGCTGAAATGTATGGAGGCAGCTTACCAGTAAGGGCTTTAAAAAGAATAAATACCAATGTTTTTTGCGTCTTTCCGCAAGAGAAGGCCAACCAACCCAATCATAAAATACACAATGGTGAGTATCATTTCTATCACCAGTGACAAATCTGATAGCAGAGTGATAGACAGAGTCAAGTGGCTTGAAAGTTGATTCTGCAGCATGCCTGTAAATCACGTCACCATAGTCTAAAACCGATTATATATGCTGCCCCCTATTTTTGGAAATAAAAGTCTCTTTCCACTGTTTTGAGGATATTGCACAAATCTACATGCAAATGGAATTGAAAAAGTAGGCGTTCAATCCACCCCTTCCTGGATTGTCTACTCTAAAACACATTAAAACACAGATGACCTTAAATTTCCTGAACTTAAATGACAAGGTCATTGTGACAAGAATGTTGGTGTTTATTTTGAGCTTTTCAAATTTGATAGCCAGACTTCTTCTGTTGTTAAATCGAGCACCTATCGGCTAAGACTTATGGCTAAAGCAAAAGCCTATCTCCCTCACTGTAGGCTATTTACTGAAATTATTTAGAGAGGGTGATCCACATATTTGTTACATATTTACTTGACTATTGTATTTCTTTGTATATGTGAACGAACCGGTCATTCATCCAACGGCTGCATGCCTCCTTAAGACAAAGACGGCAACATCACACCTGTGTTGCCTCAACTATCCCTCAACTGGCTTACTCTCTGATACAGGATCAATTTTGAAATTTTGTTGTTAGCTTTTAAAGTGCTTAACGGACTGGAACCGGCTGATGAACCTATTCATTTTCACATTCAAGTCTAGAGCAACGAGGTCAACAAACCAGCTGCTCCTGGATGTTCAAAACACTAGGCTTAAAACCAGGGGACCTAAAGCCTTTGAAGCAGCTGCCCTGAAACTGTGGAACAGATTACCACATCAAAGTCGAGCAGCTCTGCGATTCATATTAACAATTATAATAATGATAATTATAATAGGCACAAGACTAACAATAATAAATGTAGCAGTTAGAACCTAATGACTCTTTATGACATACAAAAGCAAACCAGACCCTCAGTGAAATAACTGATTATTTCTATAAAGTCATTTTTAATGCCTGTAACCATAACCATCAAATGAGGAGATTAAGAGCTCACTGCATAATCAGACTTCTTTAACATTTTGCTCTGCAGAGATTAACAGTGAATGATACATTTGACTATTAAAAAAAAACAGGAGGAGATTTTTCCTCTGAAAATACTACCTACACATGTAGATAGAACAAGACTGGCAAAGAGATAAGATGAAAAACTTTGTCCACACAGGGGACCTTGAGACAACACAAACGCAAAATTTCCTCACATCCAGGAGCTTTATGTTAAAGATGTAAATATTCCATCACAGCTCTCTTGGTTATGAATCTCCCTATTAAGCAAATGTGAGGTCTCAAGTAATGTAAAGCAATGCTTATGATGATCATTGTATTTTCTTCTCCTCCTTATCATTCACTCTGATTTCTATTGTTCAGCAAGAGCAGAACAGCATGAGGCACAGAGTAGGCTAAATGGTGAGTGGGTAGTGCTCTAATCTCAGAACTACCTTTTTCACAGCCAGAGAAGTGATTCACGCACTGCTGATTTCACTCTACAAACCCTGCCATAATGTGCTAAATATGTACAATGCTATGCCTCAGCTCTTCACAAAATGCACATGAGATAGACGTGGGAAAGTGTATCATGTGTGTAAGAACCTAAAGAGAAGGCTAAGCTGAGAGTGGCTCAAACTCATTTATTTGTAAGCTGATTAGATGCTGCTGCATCAATCCACATCGATTCCTCTCGGCCGTTCTGATGGTTCTGCAGAAAGATCATTAGGTTTTTTTATTTTATTAAAGAAATCTAATAAGCTCATGATTCTCCAGCATGCTAAGTGTCAATTAAGCTAATTAAGCAGACAAGTGAAATCTAAATGTCAGACAAATAATGAATGGTTCTATTATAAGTGGCTTCATTAGATTCCAGAAAAGCATCATCACAATGACACCACCAATCATTCAATCCGCACCCTGATCTTCTACTCCCAATGATAATGTGTCTGCAGCTGTTTCCGCATCACGTGTTGTTGTTTGCATCCACAGTACTCAATGATCAGCCCAAAGTTAGTTTAGTGCCCTTTAAAAAAAAAAAGACAAAAGATGATGAGTCACCTAAATGTCATCTCGGCCTGCTCAGATGCTTCCCTTGTATGCTTTAACAGCATACAATGTGAATGTTGACTTGATGTGATTCTGCAGAGACTGTGCAGAGTCTGCCTTTCCTGTGGTCTAAAACATACCCTCATTTGCAGCAATGCAAGCTGTAAATGAGGGTAATCACAGGGAGCATCCTGATGGTAGGGGAGGGCTGATGAATCACTTGTTGTAAGGGTTCAACTGAATTTGTGACAGTCATCGGATGGTCACAGTATGTTTGGTCCCCAGTGGCAACATGACCTGAGTGTGTAAGGCTTTTAAAGATACAGTAGATATTTAAGACAATGGATGTTTTTTATATTACGCAATTCTAATTTTTAGAAAAACTGCAAAGCAGAAAATATCATTAACTCTAAATGCATATAAACGACAAAATATTGACAATCTGGTACAATCATCTCTATTGTTTTGCCTTGTATGAGGACATTAATATTTCATTTCTAGATGCTTTGCCAGGGGAAAAGAGAGACATTTGTCACCACCTTAGCATAACTTTTCCCCTAACGGATGACATTAATAGACCTTAATGGTGATAATCTGCTGCATAGGGTTAGCGATATTTACATGATCTCAAACTGAACATGTTGAATATTTCAGAGATAACGTGTTAAGGTTCACCTGAATGGACAAGGGGGCTTTAAATGGCTGGTACTCCGTTGGTCATTCAGTCTCACTCTTTGTAGTTTGGATAAAGGCTGATCAGTTTGTGCATACATCAAGGCTAATCCTGTCATTCAGCTGGGATCATGTTGTGAGGTACCAACCTACATATTCACTCCAGGCTAAATAGTACCATCAGGCTAAATAAAAAAAACACGGCAAACAAGAATCAAACTGCTGTTCTCAAGGGACAAGCCTCAGAATAGGAATAAGAAATGCCGTAGATTTACCTTGCATTATTTAACATTGTGCGACATTTTTGACAGTGTGACATAAGCCAAAGTGTCAACAACTACTGAAACATAACTTTTCTCCAAACAGCAGCAAACTTACGCAACCATTATTTAATGCAACGCTTTGCTTTACTGCTGCTTGGGAATATTTGTGGTCATGTTGCATCAATAAAAAAAACAAGCCTGATAATAAGGGATGAAAGGAAAAGCTATAAGAGCAAGCACTCTGCATTTTATTGGGGAAACCTACTTGAGCCAAAATCCTTCACATGCAGAGTGCATCCTCTCTAATCAACAGGTTTGCATTTCCCCAAACTACAAGCAGGGTGTCCAAGTAATTCAAATGTTTTCTTCTTTTTAAAAATCTGGTCAAATAATCAGAACTCGATATAAATGCAGTCTGCATCCAAAAGATCTGGAGGCTGAAGCTCTAAAGTCAAGTGTCAACGTTTTGCAGACCAAAACATTCTTACGCACGCCGAGATGTCTCACCTGTGCTGGCTGTGTACTGAAGGCTGCCTCGCTTCCTGAAGGGGGACAGGGGTTTGCTTTTGGCCCCAGCTGCGGTCCCGGGGGGCAGGTTGGAGGACATTATTCCGCGTTGGGTGGTATGGCTTGCTGCGGTTTGGAAATAATAATCGCTGAATGAGTCAGAGCTGCGGAGGACAGAGATGGACGAGAGCTCGAGGAGGAGGAAGAGAAGAGGAGGAGAGCAGAGATGTAGCACAGATGCTGTGAGCTTGAGGGTGTTTGATAGCAGTCAGAGCACGTTTGTGAATGTGTGTGCTACTGCTACGTGCCTGAGTGCAGGGATTTCCACGCTGGTTGGTCCGGCGTGGGGCTGCGGAGCATCCCTCTGCAGCGAAACAGGTCACGCCCACCTCTGGAAGAATCTCGGTAGGCTACATGAGCTGCAGCACTGTGAAGGCAGGGGGCTCTGAGAGGGGGGGGTGGGGGGAGTGATGGAGAGGCACGGCGTACCCCCTGCGACGCACAAAATACAAACACAGGGTAAGGTGCGCAGTTCTGTTGTTACCATGACAACCACAAATTGCCCTGTAGGCAAACCATAGACTGTTACAAAATAATTATTTACACAATAATTATTTACAGTCTATGAGGCAAACCGACCTGGAGAGAAGTTGAGTAAAAAGATAACCTAACACCAATGGTGACCATTATAAAACTTACAGCCTACCTGCCAAAAATCTGACTCTTAAATTTGTAACAGTTATATTTGTCCTATTGATGACTTCTATTTTCATTAGTTTATTTCAAGCCAATAGGCTATGATTCTTGAAAAATGACCAAAAGCTCAATAGGTCAGCAAATATTTTGCTCAGTGATAAGTTGAACAATCATTAACCTCCTATTGTTTAATATAGCCTAGTTGTAAAAATATAGCCTCTTCGATAAACACCATGTTGTTACCCTTCTTCTGCAGGTCCTGAATGATAAGGCCTACACTTTTGTAAAATTCAGAAATCTTTATTATCAATATTTATTTTAATCATGTATTTATTGTGACTTCTCATTCTCATAAGAGGACAGATGGTACAAAGAGGGGCCATAGTAACAAAGCACACCTGCACTAATGTATTCTTGGTTTTTTTTCTTCTTCTGTGTTGCACAACCTCTGTGTGGGAAAGACAAACACAGTGAAGGAGAGGGCTGTCTGGAATCTTTAATCATTTACTCGAATAAAGAACGCATTCAGTGTGTACAACAGTAAATTATATAAAGGCATACTGTAAACAATAAATCTATAGGTGAAAAGAGGAAGAAACAGGCTGCAAACTGATAAATTATGAAGTCAAAGACTGGTATCTAATAAAAACCACTGCAGCAGAGGCATGTTTACTGAGGAGCCAACGCCCTCTAGTGGTTTTATTGCAGTATGTAAACCTCACAGTCAGATCACCATAATTTAGAACAGTCTATACTGTACTTACAATGTATACAAGATATATTTACAATTTATGTATTTAAAGTATTAAGTATGTATTCAAGTAAAAACAGGTCACTATGTAATGAGATGCTCAGCAACTAAATCATTTTTGCAAAAGAAAAGTTATTTTTCTCTAGAGTAAATTTATATTTGTTAGAAACATTTATTATTATTATTTGATAATAATAATTAGTAAAATTATTATTAATTTTACCCTCATTACCGGCATTGTCTATACATCTATTTCATTCATTGTTGTTGCTCTGTTTCTCTCTATGCCCGTCTCTTCTTTCTGCATCTACTTTCCAAGCTCGAAGCAGCTGCAGCAGATGGCTGTTCAACATAAGATCTGTTCTGTTGGAAGTTTCTGCCTGTTTAAAGCAGTTTCTACTGTCACTGTTACTTTGCTAATTGTTGCTTATAGTGCTGTGCTCATGATTAATGTTAGATCTTTTTAAATGATATAATTAAGAGTAAAGTATAGACCTGCTCTTTTTGAGAAGTGTCTTGAAAAAACATTTGTTATGAATTGGCAACATACAAATAACGATTGATTGATGAATTGATTTGATTGATTTTCAAAATCATTACTCTGTATGACCAATAAATTGTATTATTATGGGTTTATTATCGCTGAGTGCTTCTCTATTGATTGGGGCACTAGTATCTATTAATGCTTTCCTGGGGAAAAAAAAGAAGATATGATCACCAGGATAAAGACTCTTTATGTGATGTTTATGGAGCTGTTTTGTCATGTTTCATTATTGCTGTGAAGAAGTTTGTACAAATGCCTGAAAAGAAAAAAATTAAAGAACCTCTCCCTTTCATTGGCAGCTAAAGACAAAAGACAGGAGTCTATTGATACAATCCAACCTGATATATCATTAATTTAACTCAAAGATGGGGATATATGAATCACATGTAATGTTATTAGTGCAGCTAAAACCAAGGCTGTGTAAAACCTCCTTCACATCTGCAGGGAGAAACATTGAAAAGATGAGATTTAAAAAAAAAAAGTAAAAGAAGTGAGTGATCAAATCAAATGGTGTTGATGAATCCAGAGATCAGAATGTTTTCCAGGATAAGCTCATAAGATGACTTGTGATTTGTAATGTGACGTGATCCCGTCTCTACTGAGGACATTTTCAGTGTAAGTGGAAATGGATGTGAGGGTGAAATTATTTTAGTTTAGGATAGTCACATTGGTTCTATATTACACAGCAATGGAGGAGTGAGCAGATGCATGGGGATTAAGAGTCTGATGTAATGTATCCATTATATAAAATCACCTTAAGTCCCCTCCTATGCAGCCTGACTTCTTTTCACTTGTTTCCTCCGAAGTTAATCTGTCTGTGGTTAATCCCTCTGCAGGAAAATGCTGACCTTGGACACAAGACGCATTCATACATGTACAGCCATTTACAACTGCACGGACAGAATTTGAATGTTTTTTTTTTCACCATAAAAGCAGGGCTGCATAGCTCAGCATGCTCTGTGCAGAAAGTAAGGTTGCACCCTGCAGTCTGTAGGTGTATCTGCTACAAGACAAAAACACAAACAAACCTCTGACAGAGACATCATACTGTATGGGTGTGGGAGGAACCTGGAGGAACAAACATGGATAAGAACTGAAAGAGGATAGAAAGTTAGCTCCAGTATTTAAGACAGAGGCTTACAAGCTGAGCCATCATAACTCTGTTTTTAACATGCAGTTTTAATCAACTATAAGATACATTTCTACATGTTTAAAGCCATAGTTTTCCAAGCAAAAATTTAATTTAGATGTACATTTTGGTAGTTATCATTCTTTCTAATATTTGTTGTCATGAAAATGCAAATTCATCTTTCATTTTATGGCAAATATCACACAAATAAAATGAGAGAAATAAGATAAAAAGTGCACATGTATGAAATGCAATGTTAATAAAAAAAACTCATACATTTTCTTTTCTGTTTTTGTTCATGAAATGTTTGTATATTCAGTTGTGTAAATTTTGCCAAACTTTGTGATTGAAGAAGATGAATCTGTGTCTTCCATCCGTCCATTATTTATACCGTCTATCCCAATTGGGGTTCTGGGGCTGAATCCCACCAATCATTCACATGCCATCTGTGTCTTGTTTTTCTTTATTATTTTTCATTGGATACAGTTGAGGTCACTTTAAATGTACAATATGTTACAAAGTGGAAAACAAAGATGCTTCAGACATAGCTCTATGGAAGTTAATGGAAGTGATTCAATCTTTCAAACTCCAACAATTGGAGTTGCAAGACATTTGAGGTAAGAGTTGATGAATCACAGCACCCTGTGTGTAAATACTCATCGTATGGCTTCACCTAGATTCCCTCATGGATTGTGAGTGGGAGTTCACCTTTTATTTTGCAGACTTGTCGAAAAGCTTGCACACTAAACCACATGAGCTCATCAGTGTGCGGGGACCTCCTGTAATGGAGCCTGCAGAGGATTTAGAGAGTAACATCGGCACACAAAACACTCAGGACAGTAAAGAGGATTTATTCATCAAACACACATTACCTTTATGTGAGGATACAGTTTGGGTTTCAACAAGGCTTCTAAAGGAAAACAGTTGATTTCACAGAGATCTTTGATTATCTTTCTGTTTATATAGCTGCCTTCTTCCACTGTTTCTGTGTTGGTTCATAGAAGTGCGATGTCACTGTAGAGCTATTATAGCAGGAGAATAAACCTATTCTTATGTTTTGATGGCTGTTATGTTGTATTTTAAGATTCATGAATGAGGAGTGGGTCACTGTGTTAAATAAATATGTGTTTGTGTTACCTATATTTCACTGATTCACCAGCTTGACCTACTTGGACAAATAACATAAAAAGGATATCTGCATCTTTGTTCATAACTTTTTTCACCATAATGTATAGTAGTCAATTGCTAAAACACAAGTCCTACATATTCAGATTCCCCACTCTTCATAATTGCACCCACTGCCCCAAAAAGACGACATGTTAAGCCCCTACCTCTCGGGTTGATCTAAGGCTCTGTGGGTAATCTTGTCAACAGATCAGGGAGGCAGGGACTGAGCACAAAGCAGGGCTACGGCATCAAACGCCCTAATGGGATTGGCTGCCTTCACTAGATGTGCTACGGCGATTAGCCTCCTTGGAAGCGTTCAGGGATTTAGGCCTCAAGGACCCTGCCCCGGGCAATTAGCACTACACGCTTAGGCAGAGTGACGTGAGTGTAATGCTCCGCACAGGCCAGAGCTAAACTCTGACATGGTGTGAGGCTGTAGGAAAGGGAAAGTGCTTTTTATTGATGCCTTCATTGTGGATACAATGTGTTTGTCCATACCAAGCTAAAGTTGTTATGGGAGTACATTTAGGAACAGATTGTTTAGTGAAGGATTTGTGGGCTTAAACTTACTCCAATAGATCATGTTTCAAACAAGAGAACAAAAGTTTCATATAGAGGGGTTTGAAAGACTTGGAGCCACTTTGGAACGTCCTGATATCATTTCCCTTTTCACATTCATCCACACGTCATACTTTTTCTTCTTCATAGGTCCCTGTCTGTCAATCCTTTAGCTGCCTGCTGAGCCTATTTGACCTAACTGACCCTGACGTCAGTAAGATGCGTTCGGACAGTCTGGCTGAAGGACAGACCGAGCTCTGTTAAACCTGCTCCTTCTACAACAAACCTTTAGAGAAAGTTAGAAAAATATATGAGGACGTTAATGCAAAGCTCACAAAAGCAACTTTTATTTTGTCAAAAGATGAGCAGTCTCATTTACTGTAGATTTGATTTAACAGTACTTTGATGGAGTGATGGAGCTGCTGTGTGTGGCTCAAAAAGGAAACCAACAACAGGAACTGCTGCCGGTGTACGCCTGAAGATCTCTCCATTTATTCATAT